GAAGAAGAAGAAGGAGAAGAATGAGAGATGAAGATATGAAGAGGAGGAAGGGACAGAACATGCCAGTCCTTCTACCTCTTTGTTCTCTCTAGAGCCACGTCAAAGCTGCTCACATCACGGATTCTTCAATCATAATGCTGCAATTATCTTGCCTCCTCATCCTCCTCCTCCTCCTCCTCCTCTTCCTCCTCCTCCTCCTCCTCCTCCTCCTCCTCCTTCTCCTCCTCCTCCTCCTCCTGCTTTATTCCGCTTCTTCTCTCACCTCGTGGTAGATTGTCTCTGCAGTTGTTGGTTTACTTTGCTCGAAGGTGCGGATTGCGATGGCCTGCAGTGAGATGAAGAGAGGGAACGAGATGAGTTGAGCAGCAGCAGCAGCGGAGGAGAGAGAAGTGAGCTCAGTACGCAGAATAGAGTAAAGAAGACGACATTGAAGAAGAGAAAAATGCCAGAAGTCTCCAAGGGTGAGGGCATGCGTGAGGAGGAGGAGGAGGAGGACGAGGAGGAGGAGGAGGGAGCAGAACCTTCTTTTGAGGAGGATTACAGACTCTGAGGAGAGGAAGAGAGTCTGGGTTGCTTTCTGAAATCTCCTTGACCTGCTCGAGGTCAGCAACTCGTTTATGCCACTTGACAGGCTCCAATAACCTTCCTCCTCCTCCCCCTCCTCCCCCTCCCCATCCTCCTCCTCCCTCTTCTCCCCCTCCTCTCCCCCCTCCTCCTCCTCCCCTTCCTCCTCCCCCTCCCCTTCCTCTCGTCCTCTCGTCCTCGTCCTCGTCCTCGTCCTCCTGTTCCTCTCACCTCGCAGTCCCTCAGGTTCACTTTCATCTTGAGCGTCTGCCTCTTCACGTAAACCCTGGCTCTTCACTTTGACAAGCAACTACGCACGCTGTCATGCTCGGGCCCGGTCGTCACCCTCAGCCGCTGCTGGTACGGATCCTGCCCGTCGTGTCAACCTCGAACAGCTGGACGCCCTCCTACCATGTGCAGGTAGAACCTTTCCCAGCTCGCCCGAGGATCGCCCTGGAGGGGAGCTGAGAAACAGCCGGGCAGGAGCTGGGGAGCTCACACCTTGACGGCCGCCCAGCCCTCCATCCACTCCAGCTCGGAGGGAGTGATGAAGATGGAGAAGGCGAGGGAAAGTTTGACCTCCTGCCCGCCGACCACGACCTTCTCTCCCTTGCCGTTGGTGATCGACTGAGACGGCAGCAGGAGGAGAGAAACGTGAGTCGCAAGCAGCAACAGCAGCAGGAGCCTCACGTAGGATTCAGCTGCTGTCCTCCTCACCCCTCTCACCTGCCAGCACCCGTTAGCCGCTCCAGCATGCGGAAGCAGGAGGAGGGGCAGGTGGTGGAGGAGGAGGAGGAGGAAGAGGAAGAGGAAGAGGAAGAGGAAGAGGAAGAGGAAGAGGAGGAGGAGAAAGAGGAGCAGGAGCAGGAGCAGGAGTATGAGACGCAAAAGGAGGAGGAGGGGCAGGAGGGGCAGGACGAGGAGATACCACGGGATCAGCCCACGACCGCTTCCATATTTCTCCGACATTGAACAGCCGCTCGCCTGCTCACGTTTCTCAGCTGAGAGTCTCGCTGTGAGTCTCGTCGTACCTATCAGCTCGCTCATCTTGGCGCTGATGTGAGGAAAATGAAGGACACAGGAGTGAAGGATGGACGTCATAGGAGGAGGAGGAGGAGGAGGACAGGGGAGGAGGAGGA